TCTATTATGAACGTCTTGATCAATGAATATAGGAGGGTAGTATCGACTAGCTCCATCACTATAACGATCTTTCATTAGATAGTTGTGCAATGCTACACAAGCTTTTCTTATGAATTCCACTGTTGACACTTTGGCAACAATGGAACGACGGAACATACGAAACCTTGCAGCCATAATGCCAAATGCATTTTCAATTGTACTTCTTGCCCGGCTTATTCTGTAATTCGCAACGCAACTATTTCACTCACAGTAGCGGATCCAGCTTCATGTATGAACTTAGGCACCATGTTGCACCGTCAGCGCGACTTTTCTAGGGGGGTCGGAGGGCATGTTCACTCCGAGAATATTTTAAGATTGAATTGCAAAAAACGTTATATCCTGCGTTTTTGCAGTTGGTTTTCTAAGATATTTATTAATAGAATGAGTAACATTCTTGCTCACAAATCATCGATTTTTGACCGTTTCGCTCAATATCAGAGCTCATCGGCATGCCGAGGAAACTCCCAGAAAAATATGCTTTAAGGGCTTCCGACATGGACGGCTTTAAGCCGTTTAGTACAAACTTAGCCTAAAATAATTCTTTACACTTCATCAACTTTTATATGTAATTTCATTTTATAATGGTGTAGTCATATCTATGTGCCGACTATTATGCAAACCATTTTTTATCAATTTATCAAATGAACTTGTCGATAAAAAAGCAGAAAAAATGTTTGTAGATGTCGATCGCCCAGGTTAGTAAAGTCCTGAGAACGATTGTATGTATTTATATTGACTGAGGTTAGCGGAAGTCATCTTTACAGTCAAAAGTTTAAAAAAGGCATAAAAAACTTTCACTCCGAACTAGAAAGCTAGTTCAATTCTTCTTTTGTCTTTTGCAAAAAAGATCTATAATCTTTTGTATATCTGGATTAATGTCTTGATGAATATACAATAAAGCAAAATCATTTAACCTTTCAGCAGCCATAGTATTTCTCGTATAGTTCTTTAATCTCCGCAAAACATTGAAAGACCTCTCACTCTCAGAAGAAGTGACTGGAATAGTACCTAAGATCTTTAACAATATTTTTATATACTCAAAACCTGGGAAATTTAAAGAACTTCAAAGTAGATGAGACATTTTTAGGAAGACAAGTTGAAGAAGATGATTCCGAATATATCTACCAGAGAACGAGTTCACCATTTAAAGCCATTGGATTTGGAAGATCACCCAGGAACAAAGAAGAAAATGAATAAAATTTTTTCTTCCAAGAAACACTGCAAGAAAGTCACAAAAGTAACTACGATGGAATTAGAAACAAGCCATAATATATGCTAGTTGCAGATGAATCAATCCTTTTTTCTAACTCAGAACACAAGTGATTAACTAAGGAAATGGTAATTGTTTTCTTAAAGTAATCAGATACAGATTCTGGCGGAACATTACTTCTAATTGTCTGACGACTACAAGTTCTAGGTTTTTTCTCTTCAACACCCACCTTTTCTGCCATCGTTAATGCAATACTGTACCAGTTAGAATGATAAACTTCGACTTTTTTTCTTAAGGTGCTCGATGATTTTTTAATGCCTCAATCAAGTTCAAACCGTCAGCAATATCATTATTAGAAGACTGAAGTAACTGAGTAACTGGACGATGAAGATGAAATATACATCTAGTTATTAGGAGTGCTGCAATAAAATCAAAAGATGTAAGAGAGAGGAAGACTTACGGTCTCGCGATTACACCTGCCTTCAACGTTGAAACTCTAAGGAAAACACAATAGCAACATGCAGTTCTTCAAAAGTGTCTAAGCTAGTAATACGTTCAACCCATCTTGTCTTACAAGCACTTTTCAATCTCTTTTTTGCAGAATCTGGACAGTGTTCTCCAATGCATTTCTCCAAAATTAGCAGTCTGCCCTGGGAAGAGTTGAAAAAGTTAGCAACTTCCTTCACATGTTCCAAAAAATTTCTTACGTATTGAACAGCACAAGTCCCTCAAATACTAAGATTTAATCTGTGACTGAGACAATATGTGTAAATGGCTTTCTCATTCAAATTCTTAATCCTTGCAGCAAGACCATTAATGCATGCAGCAACAGCACCCGCGCCATCATACCCCTGCCCACGACAGTCCTGAATGTATAAATTCAACTCTTCGTATAAAACATTTCAAAATCACAGATGCAAGGTCTTTCCCAGACATACCCTGACTACGATGAATGAAACGAAAAAATTATTCCTTTATGTTGAACTCCTCGTCTACAAAGCGCAAAATCAAAGACATCTATTCTTTATTAGAAATATCACGTGTTTCGTCTGCAGTAAATACATAAAACTTCATCTTTTTTACTACAACTAGAAGCTGCTCAGTGATGAATTGACCACAACACCTAATTAACTCATTCTGAGTACATTTAGAGATATAGGAGGTATTTTATCATGATTCTTAAGATGGGTTTCCAAAATAGTGTCCCCTGCACGAACACAGAAGTTTAATAATTCATTAAAAGTACCAACATGCTTCTTAAAATATTCACCAATTTCAGGATGATACTGAGAATAATTCCCAAGGACCTATAAGTGGTAACTGAAGGCGAACTGCAAGAATGATGGCATCAACTACTGAAACTAATTTTTTCCTATTCTCTGAAATCTTTTTCTTTAAGTTACTGTCAATCATGACGTGTTTATTGACTGGCTTTTACCTGAACTCTGATCCAAGATGTCCTTAAGAAGAGCAGAAGTGTGAACATGAAGACCTGATGATGTACTTATATGCCTTTTGATTGCACTTTTAGCATCAGGCTAATGTGTTAATGGCTCAGAAGGAAAATTTTGATTCGACTGTTTTTGGAGGGAAACCTATCACCAAACAAAACACATGGTAAGCAAAAACTATTATTTAGACTTGGAGAATACAAAATCCAAAGATAACCCTTCAGCCCATCATGTCGAAAGAACCTACTGCGACTATTTACTTCAACAGTTTTAGGAAATTAATACGATTCATAAGGTACGAATAAATTCTTCCCAAGTTTTTCAATTTCATGAATTTCCATACCTCTCACCTTTTCTCTATAAAAAACAACATCATATAGATTTCTATGCAAAAAAGCATTTTCAGTTTATTATCTGTTTATTGAAAGGTAGAAGATGAAATAGAAGACAAAGCATCACAAGGACCTCGTTTGACGGAACATTTCGTTAATTTTGGTGCTACCCCTTGCAATAATTTCTCTAGTTTAGAGGGCGACACTCAGAATAATTCATGATCAAACAATTTCATTTCTTGCTGCAAACAATGAAATTCCACTCTACTTTTCCTTTCTTCATATATATTTCGCATCACCTAGCTCTGTTTATCAGTCCTTGTAACCTTCATTGAATTGCCCAAATCAGGGTCATGAAAATAACTTAAATTAAATCAATTTTAATAACAGTTGTAATATGTTTTATGGACCAAAAATTTCGTACATTTGGGCTGTTCCGGGACGGGGCGGGTGGCTGAATGGTTAATTGCGTGAGTTGCAAGCCAGACGGCGCGGGTTCAATCCCGGCTCGTTGCACATCTGGCAATGTGTCTGTAAACCTAGCCCGGGTTGACCAAAGCCATGTGAGGGAAATTTGGTAGAGGAAACTATGTCCTCGGATGGACATATCAGCGTTGTAGTTGCGTGAAAGGTACGAGTGATTGTAGTCTGGTCAGCTGCCTTCACTATAATTTAAGTAACCAGGATGTTCCACTTCGTGGAACCCTCATATGTCGAAATCGACGGAGTCCATTATTATATATTTCGCATCCAGAATCTCTTTCTGCATTTTCTTTGGTTCTTTCTCCTTCGTAAAAGTAGCAACAGAAGAACCTGTCTCTTGTTTAGAGCGGCCATATTTTTTTCACTTTGCCCATAAGTTTTTTTGCAAGCCTCCACTATTCTCCCAACATTTTCACAAAAACAGTAGAACCAGAAAACAAGTGAAAAGTTAACAGACGCAATTTTCGCTCGAAAAAATTTTTCACGTGAAGATTTTCCGCACAAAACATCCAAGTGGAAATCCGCCTTTATAGGTGATTTTTTCATGGGAAAGAAAACACGGATTGAACTCATTTTCCAAATTTGAATTTGTTACATGCCATACTTTCAAATCGAGCAATAAAAATTTTCATGTCATAGGCACTTTATTTGTTTTTGCACAGACTTGCTGGAAATTCTGCCCTGTGTTTTATTCTAAATAAAAAAAAATTGGCCGGATGTGCACTTTAACGTATCCGTTTTCCAAAGTAAAAATTACTACACTTAAATATGGTTATTATAATGTACAAATAAACTTTGTGTTTGTATGACAACGGAGCTATTAAATCAGGAATTGTTTTTGAATTACAAATGAGTTAGTTGCAAAATTGTTTTTCACCAAATGGAGGCAGGTTTTCAAGACTTTTATTTCACGCTAAAACAGCATTGTCAAGACATAAATAGTTACGGTTTATATCACAAAGCGAGTCTCTATGTATAGTAAAAACATATACTGTACATATACAAAGTAAAATGTCAAATAATTCTATAAATTCAATTAGGGAGATTGTGAATAAATTATTTAATCCAATTTCTTTCTTTAAGTTGCCATTGCAAGTGACACTCAAAAGACGCAACTTGTTACTCCTGTTATGCAAACATTTTTGAGTTCACTGATCGTGAGAGCCATAGAAATGAAATACAGACTTGAATACGGGTATGAAAATTTATTTCGAGGCGTGAATTATATTTATGGCGTGACATAAGTTACTTGCTATTCTCACCTAGCTCTGTTTATCAGACAAAGTCTGTGATGAAAATTCTTATTTTTCAGCTTTTCCTTTTATGGTATAGTATTAAAATGAGCAACATCAGAATTTCTCATGATCTTTAAAATCTTTATATTTATTTGACCTTTATCATTGTTTACATGAGATGGATTTAACTCCTGACTCTTTGTCATGTGTTTAATATTGCACCATTTGATGAATTCTTCATTTCATTTACCAAAATATTCGAGAAACATATAGAACTGAAATTCGTCAATTTTAATACTTCTTATTCGTCATTTTGGAAGCCAAATTTCAAGAATTAAAAAAGCGTCTGTCTGAATTGGTCCGAATTTGTTTATGTAAGCGAAAGCACGTGCCGTTCAAACGTTTAACTTATGACTGACATGAAATGCAATGCAACCCTTCAAAAGTTGGCGTAAAAATCTCTAACTGATCTGTGTTATCTTGTTGATGTAAATCAGGGTATGTATTTTCTAAAAAGTCTTCTTTGTTTTCAGTCTCAATTTTAATTCTTTTTATTCGTTAGCAATTCACCTCCTTTATGTTTATTCGTCATTGAAACAAGAACTTCGGACGATCAATAATTTATAATATGCCTGCATTCCTAAATGCATGTTCTTTTTCATCAGTTTATTTTAAAACAATTGTTCCAAAGTCAAAGTCAAGTAGGATGAATATGTTTAAAACAAACATTAAGAAGTTTTGATATTTAGAAAATATATAGAGTCATGAATTATAGTATGCTATTGGCTTTGTTAACTTTTCATCAAATTGAGCTGAAATGCATTGTGGCTACAAAAATAGTCCTTGTAACCTTCATTGAATTGCCCAAATCAGGGTCATGAAAATAACTTAAATTAAATCAATTTTAATAACAGTTGTAATATGTTTTATGGACCAAAAATTTCGTACATTTGGGCTGTTCCGTAATGAGGATAGCAAAAATTTTGGCATAATTTTAACAAGCATAATTTTGGCTTTTTATATAAAAAGAGAATGGCTAGCATAATTTTTCTTCCTTGTTGCACTCTATTTTGCTGTGTAATTTTATTTGTATTTATCATATGAGAAACAGTATTACCTCGGGAAAGGTTGCTTAACCATACAGTGCTTAGTAAAAAGTGCGAATCTCTTCTCCCTAACTTGATAAAGTCAAAACTATTTTACCTTCCCACTCATCCTCCAGTTTTGTGGCAGCGTAGAGATACGACCATTTTGTCAAAGCTAAACAAAGCTGAACTGCTAAAGAATCTAACTTGCATTTCAAAGCCTAGGTCATATAGCAATACTCGCTAGCTTGTGGTTAAAAAGGAAGGCTTGTCAAGAGTAAGCTGCTTATGCAATTCGAATGAAACTCCGGGAAATTTAAGTTTCACTTTACAATACGCTGAGAATTAGTCTGAATTAATTAAGTTTGAGCTTGATATATTAATCCATTTGGGTGGGCATTTTCATCAGTATGTGTATGTTGGCAGCATTTAAGGCTACAAATTTAATATGCCCCATCAGCACGCTTTTGCTAAAACCAAGTTGGAAAAATGGGGAGTCCTGTAAGCCTTCCTCTTCTTTGAGCACAATGTTATTATGAATAAATCTGCCGCTGATGATGCTGCAATGCTGTGAGAGGAAGAAAATTGGAGTAGTGGTATGATCACTAAAAAAAGTTATTCCTCTATCTGTAAAAAAGTGCCTGGGCATACATTATCAGGCTACGCCTTAAAAGTCAAAAAATATAGAAATAAAGGCCCATTCACACGACAGATTTGTCGGATCCGAATGAGCAAGCTCTATTTCCATCCGATTTTTTAAATAGACAGATCCGACTATCGTAAGCTCGCTTTATATGTGTTCACACAACCCTATTATTGAGATCCAAAAAAAAACGTATCCGACAAATCTAATAATTTGAATGAACTTTAAGAGTTAGTGTTTAGTAAATAGTACGCTGTTGATATGGAAATTATAGAAAAGAAATTAGGACATAATGTGTTCTTCGTCGAGTTCTTTGGAAGATTTGATAGCAGGAGATAGTCGACAAAACTGACGAAGTCGTTGAAAATATGGAAGAGTCCTTGTCAACAGTCATTGAACAGTTAAAGTTGCGCAAACGAGTAGCAAAGACCAGATGTCCAAGTTGTATACGAAACATACGCGATTGATGGCGAACGAGAAAAGTGTGCTTGAAGATTTGCTTCAAGAACTTGATCCCTATGAATTAAAACAGCAAGACGTGTGTGATATTGTCAAAGAGTTAATTACAGCTTATAAGAACGTCGTTGATGAAAGAAATGTTGCGAAAACTGAGGATGAACTAAAGGTTGTAATGAAAGAAACAAATCGCGACGTTGATACAGAAGTCATATGTATAAGAACTGATTTGTAAATCGCAGAGCCCAACTGCAGTTGATATAAAAGAACTGTGGGCATCAAACGTTGGAATTAATGAGTCACATTGGATAGTATTCAAGCGCTCGATAAGCGATAGTGAATGACGCACGGGGAAGAGAGTTCTGATCCAATTCGCAGTGCGGTACGAAATTTAGAACAAAATTTTAGAGCGTTTGCAAGTGCCCAAGTTTGATAGCAATAAATCAAAGTTTGTAAGTTTTTGGGCAGCCTATATTGAGCAATCGTCGACGAAAAAGAACCTTATTAAAACACAAGATGCTAAGATTAAAAGCTTGTCTTGAGGGTAGTGCAGCTGAAGCGATCACCAAATTGGGATGTTCGAAAGTTTGGAAATAGTCGGCGTCAAATGCAAGCGCAATTAGAAAGCCTTCGAAATACTAAACCATTTTAAGATGATGACATTTAAGACGTTGAGAAGTTTACGAACAATTAAGCTCATTCAATAGTTACGCTGAAAGATGAAAAACAATGCAACGAATTTCTACCGACCAGTCTCTCTATGATTCCAATCTTTCCTCACTACTCGTCTCCACCAACCAGCAGATAAATCTAGACAACATCGATCAATGAATTTTCTCAATCAATAACTGATATAACATGCCATTTGGTTTCAGAGACAAAGTCCCTGATTCATGCAATGGAAACGAAAGAAGGGACAGAAGAAAAGGAAGAGAAGCTTGTTTCAGGTAACCTTCTGTTACAACATTATTTTGATCAAGCACACTCAAACTCAGGAAATATGATCTATGCCGGAGTATTCAAGAATGCCAGTAAAATGTCATGATGCTTGAATAGGATAACTGTTGGCATTGTTATGGCAACCATGTCTCATTTTCTTTTAAACTTTTATTGTCTAGTTTACCGTACCTTTTTTTCGGCTCGCTGATATTTTCTGATTTATTGTGTGACGATTGTCATTCATCAAAGGAACATTATGTTTTAGAACGAAGGAATTCTATAAATAATTTTTTGAGATATATGAAAATTTTGGCTACATGAAAACTTATTTGTAGATTATGTTGTATTTTGCGTATGTTATAAATTTTGTTGTAATAAACATCCATATAAATTTTTAACAAAATTCACAGAAGGAAAAACGAAAAAACTATCAATAAAGTCAGCGCGGTCAGAAGTTTATGTAAAAATAATATCGATTCGACTTAGCACAATATGGCATGTAAATTGTCACCAGTCCCCTATGTATGGTTTTTACTTCATTTTCCGGTGTGCCGAGCAGACAAGACAACAACGAAAACTCGTATAGCATTTGATGCTACTGCTAAGCATGATGGGGTATCCTTGAATGATATGATCTTACCTGGGCTGAAGCAGGAAAGCCATATTTTTAATGTATTACTTCAAATCCGTCGATTTTCTATAGCCATAGTCGGTGACATTTGAGAAACATATTTGCAAAGTCAAATTCCAACAGAACATTGTTAGTACTACATTGTTCGTATTGCTTTTGTGGAGAAATCTGACGCCTAATCATCGTCCCGAAGTTTATGAATTCGAAAGAGTAATTTTTGGAGAGACTTCAGCTCCGTTTCGTGCACAATACGTAATTGAAGAGCATGCTCTTGAGCAAAATATCCTCTTGCAGAAAAAACCATTGAAAATGGAGGATTCTCTAGATTCGACTAGAACTGATGAAAAAGCAATCTAACTGTATGTGCAGATGAACGAATTGTTGAGTTAAGCTGGTATAGAACCGCGAAAATGGGAGTCAAATTCCCAACCTTTTGTGGATGCTTCGAAGGTTGCCTATGGAGCGGTGAGTTTTTAAGAATCGAGAAGCCAAATTGACAGATTAAGACCAATGTAATAGCGTCAAAGACAGGGGTGGTACCTTTAAAGCCAGTGAGTATTTCATTACTTGAGTTGTTAGCAGCAGTGTTGCGATTGCGGTTGATAATAGCGATAGCAAGAGCGGTGAACCTCTCCATTTCCCGTCGCATTTTTAGTGCGATAATATACGTACTTATTTGGATTCGTGGCTGTGGCCGTAAGTTTATCTGCTTCTTTAGCCAATAGAGTAGGTTTAATACAAAATTATAATCATCCAGAGCAATGGCAGTACTTTGGTTAGAAAGACAACACTGCTGACCTTTGCACTCGTAGGAGTAACGTAGCACAGTGAATTTTGGTGGCAAGGCCCTCGTTTCTTACGGAAAAGCGAGTCGGAATGCTAGCTGCAGAAAGTCTTAGTTGGTGAAGGAGTGAATCGCAAGGTGTCCTCACTGACATGCCTTCTGCAGCCCGCAATCACTTCAAGTTGCAAGGCATGGCGATTGAACCCAGAAAGATGGTCTATTTGGGGTAAACTTACGCATGTCTTATCTTATCTTTGGTCTTGAGATTTGTGAACAGTTGTCAAACTTTATTGTCTACGATTGAGTATATGGGTCTTTGAAACCAGAAGAAATCAAATATACACAACTTTCGTTAATTCGATTTGCTCAACAAAAAATTTACAAGGCGTATGCAGATATTCAAGAAGGGAAAACGATTTCAGCAGGTCGTAATTTATTAAGATGGTATTCTCCGATGTGATGGTCGGTTATGTAATGCAGAATTTGTGTCATTGAAATTCTTTTTCCAATTATATTACCACGACACAATCGGGGGACTAAGTTTATCATTAAGCATTACCATGAGATAGGGCAACATATCTTAGGTATTAATTATATACAAGCAAACCTTAGCAAAGTTTACTGGGTTGAAGCAGCTTGGGCAGAGATACGATCATGGTAGAAAGAATTTAACGAATGTAAAAGAAGAAAAGCGAAAGCATCAAGTCAAATTATGTCACCACTCCTATTAAACCGGCTTCAGTTCCCTTTGAAAGCGTATTCTTGGATCTCAATTGACTTCGGGGGTCTTTTATTACAGTTCAAGGTAGAGAGCAGAGCAGACAAAAGAGGTAGATCAGCTTGTTTACCTGTTTCTTATGTCGTGCTATTCATTTAGAGATGGCATATGGCCTTGATACAGATAGCTTTCTATGATGTTTTATGAGAATGGTTAGCCAAAGAGGCTATCCTTTGGAAATAGTAACCGATCGTGGGACCAATTTCATCGGTGCCGCAAGAGGTAAAAGAGTTAGCAAATAAGTTAAATATTGAAAAATTACAACAGAGTACTGTTGATAACGGAATGAAATGGAAGTTTCATGAAATGGAAGAGTGAAATGGAAATCAACCATTAGAACTGCATTCTGGCGAAGTACATGTATAAAAATGATAAAAGCTGCTAAGAAAGCAATTTATGCGATTTAATACATGCTGATGCTAAAGATAAGGAAATTTCAACTATATTTGTTGGTGTTGAAGTTACACTCAAGACCTCGATCTTACCAACCAGACAGCCGATCCAAAAGATGTTATGCCGCTTACTCCAAATCACTTCCTGCATGAGCATGTGAGTGGAAAATCTGCTCCTGACAGGATTGACCATTTAGAATTCAATATATGAGAACGTTGGCAAAGGGTTCAGGAACGTATTGGTCACTTTTGGAAACGATGAATGAGAGAATGATTACTAAATTAAATGAATATATGATCTTCGCACTTTGCTGGACAATTTAAGCAATCGTCTCAGGACCTGAAAAAATCAGGTGACTCAACGGGATCCCGTGCGAAGATCATATATTCATTTAATTTCAAACACCGCACTGCATAAAACATTCAGAATGATTACTATCGATTAATATTAGCAAGAAATGGTGGCAACCACAAAGCGATGTACAAGTTGGAGGCTTGGTTCTCGCGATTTCGGCTGAAAAGAATCGTGGTCATTGGGGGTTGAGTAAAACATGCATTCCCTAGAAAATATGGGCATGTCCGTGAGGTAAAGGTTCAGATAGGGCAAGATTAGACAGTTGTTAGACCAGTGGCAAAGTTTGCACCGGTTGAAGTATAAGACTTTGTCAGACGATGCAGTCAAAGGACGAGGGAGAATGTGTTAAACGATGCAAAATAGACATTAAAAAACAATCAAAATTTTGTAGGATTAGTGCAAATATATATGGTTATGGAATTTATAAGATTATTATCATAGTTTAGTATAAATATAAAAACAAAAATAGCAAAAAATGTGCATATATTATCAGGCTGCCTCCTAAAAGCCAAAAAATATGGAGATAAGAGTCAGTCTCTGGTACGCTGTCAATAGGGAAATTATAGAAAATAAAAAATATATAAGAAATTAGGACATAACGTGTTTTTCTTCGAGTTCTTCGGAACATTTACCTTAGTCAATAAAATGTAGTTCGTGGACACAAATAGAAATGTTGAAGTCATTTGTATTAATGTACAGGGAATACAAATAATTTATGAAATATGGTGGCAGGAGTAAGAACAAAAACTTAAATCTAGTGGAAAAGCTTTAAGAATGGCACATATCATTTAGTTAAAATGGTCACAGCAGACCTCTGATAAAAACACGAAGAAAGTCCGAGGCAGCAGCTTGTGTTGCTTCAGATGAGCGAAAGCAGAAGATATGTTATCAAACGTGAAAGACTTGTCATTAAAATGAGAAGATAGTGGAATATTAAATTGACAACATATAATTTAATTACCATATCACTTTTAAACAACTATTATTTTTTAACTTAGCATAACATTTTTTTAACTGTTCTTAGGGTATTGACCTATTGATAAATGAATTTTGCATGTCTTAATAATCGAAATATATATATTAAAGCCCAGCATATAACGCGTAAAACAGGCATAAAGAAAGACGTATTAGTTAGATAATGGGCTTTAATATTTATATTTCAATTACGATTCCCGCATGGTTCATCAATTGCAATTTCTTTAACAATAATTAATTCAGGTAATTCCTGATAAAATTTACATTAAATATGTATTTTGACAAGCATCATTTCTTTTGTCAAATTTCTAAAACGATTATGATGTTTTTAATTAATTCAGACAATCACAAGCCATGTTTTAACATATATAAATTAAACGAAATTTGGCCTCTCATGGTCTCTTGTTGGCATCGCAATGAAACAAAATTGCCCTTCTTTGCCTTTTATGTAATTGGTAACTCAAATAATTCATCGTGGATAATATATTACTCGCTTGAAATAAAAATGCTTATTTCATAACACGTTTGTTACGCTATTATTCAATTGCTGAACAATACATAAAATAGCATTTACGGAAATTCAGTTTTACTATTTCACTGGGATAGTTTTTCTTAAATTATCCTTTGGACCATCACTAATGTTTGTTGTGAATTTGACTCTTGCCACCAAAACAAACCCAACCCAATGCACAACTCAATATATCTTTGAAAGCCAGTTGATGAAGCCTTAGTTCTAAAACTTCCAAAATAATTCCTCAATCGTAAAGTAATGCTTCATTTTTTAGGCTGTTGCAGTGTCCAAGTGGTTATGATTTTCATTTTCTATTTGATTACAATAGACAAAAGAATAACAATCCAAAGATAGTTATTCATAATATCATCTATGTATTTGTTTTAACACATAGATAGTTTGTTTTGAACTGCAAAAACAATTGATATTGTGTTAACTGTGCACAGTTTTCATAGAAAAACCAAAATGTCATATCTTTACAGATGGAACTTGACGGCAGTACATTTTTTATCATAAACAAGAAGTATTATCATGCTAAACTGGCAATGTGGGGAAATAAAAGTAGACAAATGATCACATACGAACAGAAAGTATTTCCAGATCAGTTGTGGCAACTGAAAGAAGACAAACATTATCCTGGATTTTATAACATCTTTAATTTGAAATATGAAGGATACAGAGTCGCAAAGTGGGGATCTGGAGACAGAGATGTTGGGTCGTTCAATGGTCAATATTTAAACGATCAGCTGTGGAAATTCTATCATGTCGCTGGTAGGTTGTATGGTATGATTCTGCTTTTAAAATTGTTTTTTTAAATACAAAAGCTTTACATTCGCAAATTGAGTTACAAGCCGTGATTTTTCATTAATTCCGCAACTTAATCAAACATGCTAACATCTGTATAGTGCCTTGCATTATTTTAAACCAAAATTTGACCAACAAAATATTATCTAACGAGCATCAATTTTTTTCCAAATTTGGGTTTTTTGAGGGTAATTAGTGCTCGTTTCTAAGAATATTGACGTCTTTGGTTGTATGAATTAGACATGCAAAACTTTAATATATTAAGAACGAAAAGAGATATGAACAAGCTGTTTTAAAATGTCAACTATTATTTTAAGTTTTTTTCACTGAAATGATAACCTAAAGAGCAAAATTTTCGTTTTACAGGTACATTTTTAAATTATAAAATACAAGCAATTTATGAATATTCAATATAATTTCTGTAAAACAAAAGTGTGATTTTGTTAAGTTGTAAAATTTCAAAAATATCTTTTTAAGATGATTTCTACCGAATAATTAACTTCACGTATGAAAAAGCAAAACTGGCAAAATGGGGGAAAGGAGACAATGATTGGGGTACTTATGATGGAGAAATTAACGAGGATCAGTCATGGAAACTTGTACCGAGATTCAAAGCAGATGTCTGCCATGTGGTACTCTGGAGTTGTGACAACAGAGAAGGGTCAGTACCATTCTCTGAAGAAATTTCTGTAACGACCGGAATAAAACTTACTTCGACAGAATCGATTTCATTCACTGTTGGTTTGGAAACATCGTTAAAGTCATCAGTGTCAGTAACTGGAGTGAGTGAAGACATTGAGTCAAAGCTTAGCCTTCAGATAGACAGTTCGTTATCGCAAACAGAAGAAAAAAATTGGAGCCGTACGTCTAAGATAACGTTTACAGCTCCAATAGGAAAAAATTATCGCGTGAAACAACTCTCGTGTGAGTTTGTCAGTCCTCTTTCATCCGATAACTGCGTTCTCACCTGTCATTATGTCGTCGAAGAAAGTAACCATGACTTTAATGAGGATTGACCTGACATGTTTACAAATACTTACAATAGCAATTAAAAGTTTAATAATTAATCATTGATGATACATAAAAGTTTAACTTTAACCGTTGAGTTTGAACAATTAGGATTTCCAATGAAAAATTATGTTAAACGTTCTCAAATCTTACAACGAAGCTTGTACATTTAATTTTTTCGTACCTTTTTCAATATTTTAACATAACATTCGTAATAATGATGATACAAAAGAAAGGGAATGCTTAACAAACAGTTTTGATTTACCTAACATCATGAAAATAAAAAAGTAACTAGTTCTGCACTAGTTCTTCCGGCGTTCTCCTACCCGCACGCAAATAGAATATTTTTTTCAGTTTTTGTGTAATTTTTCTTTTTGAAAAGTTAAAACTATCTTTGGTGAGCATGGACCATGTTACCTTGCGAGAAAGTACAATTATATGTCATGAAGAAGTCAAGAAGTAGTCCCAACAGGAAATAGTTCTTCAAAAAGACGTAAATATGTTTACATAATTTCAATAAAAAAATGAACTTGCCAATGGAAACAGAGCGTGCGATCCTGAAGTTTTTGTTTGAATGTAAACCATGAAAAAAGGCGTAGTAAGAACAAATATTAGGAGTGCTCATGTTCATAAATACATAACATGCAGTATTAGCCTCCTTTGAAACTCATTGTTCTCAACGGATTATCCATGCATATATGAATATCAGCCTCCTTCATTGACGAAGAAATTTCCATCTACAGCATTACTGATTTATCATCAGAAATCGTCTATTGCAAGGACATGATGGTCTCTGCTTAACAAAAATGATTTTTAACACTCCGAAAAAAAATTAAGAACTCTTTTTCTGACAAAATATAAAATTCAAACTCAAAAATAACAAGTTTAGACTCAAATTAAAAAGATCGAACGCAAGATAACGTGAGCCTCCTTGGCTTCCACAAATTGTAAAGAATTGAAAATGAACGTATTTACTATCGACTTAGATGTTCAGTACTACGACTACCCAGACTATACGGACAACCAAAATTTCGCAAACCACAAACACCCATGCGACCAATTGTATCAATCTGTGGTTCGATACTTACTAACTCTCACAGTATTTAAGTGGCATACTGCAACCACTTACAAGCAAATCAAAACACAAGCTTCAATCCACTGAAACCTTCATTAAAAAAGGTAGCATTATACAAATACCCGAAACCTCCATTAAAAAACAGTTTCCACGGACGTTTCATCGGTAAGCTCTTTAACGTTCACATGAATAGCACTAACAAAGTTCATTTTTGGGAGGGCAAAAGGGCAATTACTTAATTATGTTTCTGATATTAATTACTTTATATGCACACAAATTTACTTAGAATAATTGTAATGAGAGAGGTTGTCCCCACACCGCCCTACAACGGTGTTTATGCATATAGTGCACTTTTTTCTACATTTGTACTTGATAAACGGTAAAAACAGCTACGATTTTTTTACTTTTGTCAAGATTCCCTGCTGATCTCGAAAGAAGAATGGTATGGATTAGAAATATACACAGAGAACGTTGGACACCTAGTGCGACAAGCAAGCTGTGTTCCGATCACTTTCTGGAAAGCTGTTTTTACAAATCTGGAAAAGTTGTTAAGTTGCAAAAAGATTCTGTTCCAGCTCATTTTAAACTCTTTCCACAACATATGAAAAACGTGCATAACAATTAAAGAAATATTTAGGATAATAGTTTTTGAAAACAAAGATTGGAAAAAATGGCCTTTTAAAAGTTTATTACATTGCATAACTATATACATGTAATTGTTCACACTAAGTTGCACACCGTAGCTAAAATTAGTTCTGCCTGCTGCACGATATGCATGCATCGTACATCAACACGATAAAACCAATTAAGATCAGTCCGACTGTCTGCAAGATGAAAAATTTTCCATCGTATTCAGAAAACATTTAAATCTGTTAGACCGCCACGACAAGAAAGCGACCGCTAATTAAGACTGTCGAGAGTGATGATGACGATCCTCCTGAGAAGAAGACAATGCTTGAAGACCATGAAATAGAGGAAATGAAGAATATTCATCAGCAAAAAGTTTCAAAACTTAAAAAGAAACTTAAGTCGACCCAACAAAAAGCAAGACGCCTTAACAAAAAAGTTACCTCACTGACGTCAGTTATAAAGCGCTCAAAGAAAAGAATCTGATTTCCTCGTCTTGCGAAGAAATGCTGGAAAGAAATATTACTGGTGTTCCAACAGAACTATGCAAAAAAAATGATGTCAAAGACGCGCTAAGGATGCATGTACTCACCAGAACTGCATTCATTTGCATTAACTCTTCCAGTTTTATTCGTCAAAAGCTTACAATTTTGTGCGCAAAACATTCAATTTAGCTTTACCTCATTCAATAGAAATTCGTAAATGGTATACGAAGGTCCCTGGTGAAGCAGGATTTACATTGCCATCATTTGAAGCACTTGCCTTGAAAGTAACAAATAAAGAGAAGTTAGAGTGGTTCCTTAATGATCGATAAAATGGCTATTAGAAAACATGTATCATGGGATGGCAAGAAATTTCGTGTTTATTTTGATCTCGCAAACGACGATGAAGCTGATGATTCTTCTCCCGTTGCTAAGGACCCTCTAGTTTTCATGGTAGTTTGCTTGAAACAAACGTGGAAAGTTCCAGTTGCCAACTTTTTTATCGATGGACTGAGCGGTCAAGAGTGCGCAAATTTGGTTGAACTGTGCATCAAGAAACTTCACAATATCGGTGTTGATTTGATTTTTTTGTATGTGGTGGGCCATCCTGCCATTTCCCTATGTTCCAAGCTCTTGGAGCAGTATTGGAGCAAGACACCACCTAAACTACATCCATATTTCATCCATCCTTCACATGAAAACAGGATAGTTTATATGCTCCTTGATATTTGCGACATGATCAAGCTCGTTAGGAACACGCTGGGAGATAGCAAAATATTAGTTGATGGTGATGGTCAAAAAATATGTTGGGACTATATTACAGAATTACAAAAGCTCCAAAATAACAAAGGCTTGAAACTTGGAAACAAGTTAAAGAAAGCACATATAAAATGGTGGCAGCAGAAAATGAAAGTAAATATGGCTTCCCAAACAAAAATTTCCATGTTTCTGATGCAATAGAATACTGCACAAACACTCTTAAGGATCAGAAGCCACTGTTTACTTTATTCGCATCATAGATCACCTGTTCGACATTCTTAACTCTCAAAACCCGTGTGCCAAAGCTTATAAGGCTGCTCTTCGAAAAAGCAACAAAGAAATTTGAGAGGCATTTTCAGCAAAAGCTTATAACTACATTATAAATTTGCAAGATGTATCTGGTAATCTGCTGTACAACACTCGCCGAAAGACAGGATTTGTGGGACTCTTGGTGGCAATAAAAAACATTTTTCTCTGACAAATTTTTCTGACCTAGTTGAAAGAAAAAATACACCAAAGAAATATATACTTACATACAAGTTCAGCCAAGATCACTTAGAACTATTTCTTGGTGCAATTTGATCAGCAGGAGGATTTAACAATAACCCAGCTGCTCAACAGTTTAAAGCTTCCTACAAAAGATTACTTTTACAAAGCAGAATTGAAGGTAGAAATGAAAACTGCAAAAAACAAGATAAAACAAGGTGAGACATTCTCGAGATTATTACTGATTCAGATAATAGAATTGACAAAATGATAAATAAAAATGATGTTGCACTCATTAGGAAATACGATCTGGAAGAAGTGTTTCTGAGTCAACAAGAAGAAAACTTCTCTAATGTGTCTAACATTCCTGTTGTCTCTTTGTTGTGAAGATGTTTACAAGAAAAATTTCCTGTTCTATTTGCTGTTGAGCACTTGGTTCAAGTCATCAACCTGCAGAATCTGATTTCCTGTTATCAAAAGATAAAGTTGGTTTGATAAAACCAACAAAAAATGTCATTGACATATGAATTGAAACTGAAAAATATTTTCAGCGAATGCTGTCTTCATCAGATGGGCATCTACCACAAAGCAGAGACTTTGTTAGTGTTTTGTTGCGCGTATGGCTGCAATAATCGTTCATTTGATGAATACAAAATGTGCCACATACCGTCAGGGTCGAGAAACAACGAAAAATGAAAGAAATGGCTTTGTTCAATAAAAAGAGAGAATTTTAACCCGACGTCGGCGAGAGTTTGCGAGGCAATTATATTCTTGTTGTTCTTTAGATATTTAACATGACAATGACAATGTAAGTTTTAAAATTTTTAATAAAGATTTACAACAAATTTGCATTTGTGTGTTAGCAATGTGTGATAGTTCGCTATGGCTCCCTAAGGCTCACTTCAAAGCGAATCAATTCAAGCGAAAAATCCCAGGGAAACTTCTACAAAATGCGGTACCAACTCTGTTCACGCATTGAATGCCTGTGCTTCGAGGAAAGACGCAGGCTAAACGAGAAATAAAAGTGTACACTGGTCATCTACCGTTTTGGCATCTTCAGTACATTATAAATTATTGACCAGTGAAAAAAATGTAAACATGTTTACCTTCATGTTCATATAGTGTCACCACGACTTGTTGCTGGTAGCCAAGGTGATTATGATCATGACTCATGACTCATGAGAGTGATAATGATCATGTACACTCTACAACGACTGTGACTGAGTTAGACTTGAACAATCCTCAAAGTAAAACAAATAGTCAACGTCACACAAAGCTGCGAGAGACACTGGAAATTTTAAAGAAAGAGCTGAAAAAAGTAAAAGAAAATCGTAACAACCTAGCGAACAACATATCTGGTTTATTTAATGAAGACCAAAAACCCTACCGTTCCAAGAAGCCTGGTTGTGGAAAAGATCAAGCAATACCATCTTTAAATTGATGAACTATAACAATGAAATTTTTCACTTATTAAGTATAAGCCTAAAATTTACATTTGATTTTTCATTTTTAGTTTGATGGTCAAATAACACATTTGAAAGTGCTATAAAAATAAGATATTCATGTGGAGCAACTGGATACAGCACATTACTTGGGGTGAATTATTTATTACTTTCTATAGGAACACTTAATTGACGAATGGAGCACATCGACTTTTCCTCGGGTCTTACATATGAGGTTTTCGCAGCATTGCAATTGAAGGTAAACATACAAACTAATAGAAAACACAAAATCATTACTGTTG